GCTGCTCCAGTCAGGCGCCGTGATGACATCAGCCCTGCTTTCGCAATTATTTAACCTCTGTCGTTCAGATCAGCAATGAACCAGCAAGGGTGACTAATAGACACATCAGACCTGAGAAGTTATCAACACACCAAACAGGGGGCCGGCCCTCAGGAGTGAACTCTGCTTTCAGGAGGCTGTTTGCTCCGTATTTGGGGGAAGATTGTATGAAATTGAACATTAGGTGTCCATAAAAAGCTCCAGGAAAAGCTCTGTGTGCCGTGGCAGTGTCATTCCTTTCGCCAGAAGGATGCAGATGCAGCAGATATTTGCTTTTTCTCATTTCTGCCTGTCATTTTGCACTACTCCCCTCCAACTCTGGCTCCTGCTCTCACTCCTCATACAAGCATGGAAAAAGTAGCTTCTTTTAACAGACATCTACAATAAACGTGCCGATACTTGAGATGTAAACTGAGAGGCTGGCATTATAACAGAGCCTCTAAATCAACCTCAGGACCTTGTTAGCATAATTAGTGATAGGACTGGTGGCTTACAAGATCCAGGACAGAAAATGGAAAAATAGTAATAACAATAAAAAAATGCAGTTGTATCCTAGCAATTGCTGGGATGATTGCTGATGGTTCAAAAGCAAGTCATATCTTGCGTGAGACAAATACATTTTATATGATGTTTAATCTCACAGGAATTCTGCCGGAAATACTCAGAAGCTTGTTAGAGGAAAATATGAGAAGCTACTCATGTGAACAATAAAAGATTCTTGTGTGGTGGAGCTACTGTGACTCCCATGCTGCTAATAGGTGCACATTTTGCAATTACTAGCATACTGAAAAATAATGCTGCATTCACTGCTCCTATTTACTAATTTGAAGCTTTGGAGAAGAAGACAGTCCTGGACATCCTTCAAGCTTAAACTCAGGTAAGGTAGAGAAGCACAGGGGACAAGATTTGTTCAAGATCCCCTGGAAGTCAGTGGCAGAGCAAGGAAAAAAACCTGTCTATAAGGGATCTGAGAGCATTAATAAGTTTTGATGGCCCTAATCAGTCTGACCTGCAACCTCCACCCTCTGCTCATGGTCAGGAGTCTCACTGAAGCTCAGCCCTGGGTCTTTAGTCACCAAATGAGCAAAGCTGAGTGCCTGCCCCCAGCTTACACACAGAGGTGCCTGTGCCTGTCCAGGGACCTTGTAGATCTTGACCCACTAATTTCCCAGCTTGACCTCAGGCCAAGCTCATCACTGTGGCCCTGCCCGGTGATAACCAGGCTGTGTATGACCATTATTAGCCTTACTGATCCTGATCTGTGGATTCACTTCCTGGCTTGAGGTCGGACCTGCCTCATCACCACAAAATTGTCTGATGTTTTGGACTCCAGGCTGAAGTTGGCTGCCACTCCCAGCGAGCCCTGCCTGCCTCCCCTGAGGGCTGTGGGGTGGGCCCTGGCTGGAGAGAACCCTGTCCACATTATCCTTGTCAGTTCCCTGTGTCTTTGGGAGCAGATAGTGCCTGCTGCACCCTGACTTGACCCTAATACATCACCCTGCCTCCCTTGTCTGCATAGTACCCAGGGCAAGAAGAGAAATGCCACATGTTGATTTGATTGGGGAACAGGCAGAGAGAAAAAAGGTACAAACTCAAACTGGAACTTGTCTTTGCTCCATGGTTTAAGCATGTCCTTCCTCCCATTTCACATTGGAGATGGCAGCATTGCCTGCCCCAACGCAAGGCAGCAGTGAGAGACATTAAAGGGGTTACAGAAGGAGGTTCATGTTCTGCGTCAATGTCCCTTGAGAACAACAAATCTTGGCCGACAAGAGTAGAAACGAGAGGAATCAGGCTTTAGCGGGAGGGAGTGATCACAGCAGAGGGCTTGAGAGCACGGGAAGGAAAGGCAGAGACCTGGGAAGGGGAAGCACTGTCAGATTAGCCAGCAGGACAGCCAGAGGAGGCCGATGATGCTCCTGAGGACAGGTTTGTGTGGGCTCAGCAAAGCTCTAGGGCAGCTCTGGTATTTGGGGCTCAGAAAGGCAGAGGGGCTCAGCGAGCACTGTGACATGCAAAGAGCTCACAGCAAAAGGGCCAGGTTGTCCTTTGACTGATGTTGGACACATTCCTAAGTGCAGCTGGCATCTGGCATCAGATCCTAGCTTTCTTCAGAAGCCTTCGGTGTGCAATGCAGAATTCCAGCAGGGTTTGTCTTGCACTGGGGGACCTGGATGTCTGCAGTCCTGGCTCCATGTGTGGAGGGAAGAACAGCTCATCCAATAGTTTGGTCTCTAACTACAATCTCTCCTAAATTAGGCTTTTCACACGGAACAGCAGGAAATTCACATACAGCTCATGCTGAGGTTAAAAGGCAGCAATTGTCTAAATCTTCATATACAGGCAATTATTGGCCTTTTAATTTGGAAGCTAAAGGAGGTGACTCAACAGAAAAGGGTTCAGGCTGAATCAGCAAGATCTTTCTTGGGAGTTAGATATACAGCAAGAAAGCAAAATAACTTAGGGGTAGGCAGGGAAAAAATTGTGTGTATGGAATTCAGCTTTTGCCACAGACAATTTCTACTTTTCCCTCTTCCATTCCTGAGACACTCATGTGCAGCCCATGGAGTGAATTAAGAGAAGAAAGAAGTTAATACCTCCATAGCATCCAATGCTTTAGGTATCTACAAACCTCCTTAGACACATTCACTGATCTCCACACAACAGCTCTTCCATGAGAACTGGGCCTTGCTAGAAGTGTATTGTAATTTGAAATTAGAAAACTCTGTCAGCCTCACAATTCACAGTGCTGAAGTAAAGCCCAAGATCCAGGCTTTTAGAGGAATGGATGTAGTGAAGGGAAACTGTGGATTACACTTTTCTGGGGTCCTGCAAGTGGCTAATTAGCCCAGAGAAGCACTGAAATTCCCTTGGTCTCTGCCTGCTGGAGGCATGCCAAGGGAGTCTGCCTTATTCTTACATGAAGTAGTATCTGAAGCAAGATCAAAGGATGAGACCAAGATTTCACGGCTAGTGCATCGGGCAAGTCTGCAGAGGCTTTCAAGATGATCTTTACAATAAAGAGAAAACTCTGCTCTGTGACATCTTAGTTATGGGATGTTCATTTTCCAGCTTTTACTATTGTGAGTGTTAAATTCCTTGTGTCAATTGATGGCCTATAATTTCACACTCTTCACATGGGGAAAAAAAATTGATGCAGATGTTTTCAGATGCAGTGTGGATTCAGGTATATTTCTGCAGTGTAAAGTCTGAGATTCCTTCACTTTCAAAGGGATTTGGGACACTCATTGGGATGCTTTGGAAAAGGTTACCTTAAGTAACTGTGTCCTTACAGAGTTACCACTGAAGGCAGTGAGCAAGCCTGCCCTGTGAGTAAATGATTTTTTTTATGGCTAGGGACCAGCTAGCAGAGATGGATGTGGTGTATTCGTGCCCCTTTGCCCTTTCTCCAGAGCACTTTAAAGGACCCTGTAATCATAAATGTAGGAAGAATTTGCTTTCCTTCTGTCCATCCCCACCCTGCTATGGGAAAGAAAAGAATTATTATGACAATTGGGCAATTGTAAACCAGAGTAATTAAGTGATTTGCCAAAGGCCAGGTAGCCAAACTGGGGAACTGAACCCAAGCGTCCTCATTGCTGCTCCTCCCCCATAGCCGATACACACAGACCCTGAAAGGTCGGAATCCTTCTTCCCTGGGGAAGATTCCATTTCCTCCTTTGAACACCGAGGGAGGGGCCCCTCTAAATCACAGGTTAGGCAGGCACTCAACTGAGTTAACACGATGTACTTCCCTGCACCATGTCTTGGAGGTGTAGTTAGGTGTTAGTACATGCACTGCTGCAGCTCCTAGAGGTCTCTGCCAAAAGCAAGCCCCATTGTGTTGGCCACCGTTCACACACAGTATGAGAGAGTCCCTGCACCCAAAGAACTTTAATATTCTTTGATATTTCTGGGAAATGTTTAATGAGAGAATTTCAACACAGAGTACAGGGCCTGTTTTTTCCTTTTAACCTAGATTACACCAGGATAACTCCATTCACTTCAACACAAACCTGTCAGAGATGAGACCCCAGATCATTTATGTTGCAGTCTCTCTTTTTAAAAACACTGGAGCATATATAGCAAATAATCAGGAAATTAGTGGACAGGTGGCATTAATTTTCTCCAATGTCACCAATTTGGTTGCTGTTGTGGAAACACAGCAAGGCACAGCAACTGCTATTTCAGTGCAGAGAGCCATCCCTGAGGCCCAGATGGTGACCATATGATTCTTCCCTCTTATGGACCATAGACATGTTTCCTACCCTTAGAATTTTACTTCTGCTTGCAAAGAGGGCTCACCTAAATCTGCCTATCCCCCACAGAACCTGGGTGCAACACAGGTCCCTTCAGGAATCCAGTAAAGACCCAGACAGTGGGTAAACAATTTGTGGAAAAAGCACAACCTGACTCAATTAGAATTTCCTCCATGAATAGCTCCCTATGTCAGAACTTAAGGCCCCAATTCATAGGGAAATCTGGGACCCATTTCCTCAGGAATTGCTAGCTATTTACGCAGAGAAAGTACTGCATTCTGATTTTGTTTTCTGGACAGTCTGGAGTGGGCTTTATGCTCACTTGAATAGATTGGATTTATACTAGGCTGGTAGCAGTGACATGTGAAGAGATCTGTACTTCTAAAACTTGTGTCCTCCAGCACCTCATCTCTTCTCTTTGGCAGAAGGTGTCCAGGTATCAGGAAATGCTGATCTGCTGCTGTAGATGAAAAGCATGAACCCCTTCACCCAGCCCAACTTTGTCAAGAGTCCCAAAACTACACCTGGGTGGTACAAAACAGAGTACTTTTCATCTGTCATCTCCTTGCTAAGGAGCCCATGAACTCCCAAGGCCCAACATGCAGCCTCTAGTCATGATCAGTGTTGGGAGCATAGGGGGATAATGGTTAATACAGAAGAAGCATCTGTGGGCCAGAGCCCCATACATCCCATAAAACACACCTCTCTTGGAGTTCTCTTAGCACAGGTGACAGATGTCCTTCCTCAGGAAAGATGCTCCTGTCGTGTCCTTTACTCTGGCAAACGGGACTCGTCTGTGGAGTAAGATGTTATAAGAGAAGAATGAATCTCATGCTGTCTGACCCTCAAGAAATAGTTACAATGATCTCCCAAACCCTCCAGTGTATAATGCACCCTTTTCAAAGGCCCAGCCTTAGCCACACACTCCTGTACAAACAAAATTGGATCTAATTCCAGCTCCTATGGCCTTTCCTAGAGTTAAACAAAGCTTTGTAGAGCTGAATGATAACAAACCATAGAGGGAGAGAGAAACAGCATGAAGAAAAAAAATGCAAAACATTCGTCCCTGACATTTGAAAAATTCTTATTTGCCTAACTCTCCTGATTTCAGCAGAGCTGTATAACTTTATACCAGCTTCCAAATTCGTGTTTCTTTTTATTTAAATCTCTCTTCTAACGAGGTCTGAAAGCAGCAGAGGAGTTCAGGCAGACGTGTGTAGGCTGTCTCAGACAGCAGGGGCTTCAGGCAAGAAGAATTTCAGGCCAACAGCAGCAAGAAAGAGAAAAGGTTGGTGGTGGAGGAAAAGAAGATGAAGAGGGAAGCAGTGAGAGGCAATTCTTGTGGTTTGGAAGTTCCTGTGGCTCTGTGTACAGTCAGCATTTCTGTCTGCAAACAGAAACATTTCTATTTGCTTTGCAAGCCAGATTTCTCAACCTTTGGCCTTCTGACCTTCACTGTATCTGGCACCAATCAGGTGTGAGATTGCAGCTCCCTGCTCACAGGGGCAGAGCTTTTTCTCTTGGTCCAGCAGCCAGACGAGATGGGGCTCCCCAGAACAAGGCAGACACTCAGTGTGGCAATGGCAGTGCAAGGAGAAAGTCCCGAAAACATTCTCTTCAGATGAAGGCTTACCTCAGCTTAGGTTCTTCCATGTTGTCCAATTCCAGTAAAGCCAGACTTCAGGAATGAGAATCTAAGCATGAGCTGCACATTTGCTAAGAATCAGACCCAGGTTCCACCTGCTCAAAGGTACACAGTGCTATCTCTGTGGGACTCTGCCAGAAGAAGAGGAAAGCAATGTCCATATTTGACCATTCTGGTCATTCAATTTGTCCTTATCAAATAAAAATAAAATAAAATAAGGGTTTTTTGAAGGCAGTACAGTTTCTTTATACCGCATGCCCATGTTTATTGCCATATAAAATTCCCTGTTTGACTACACCCCACCCAGGCTCTTGTACACACCTGCATAAGTCTATAATTTTATCCCATGAATCATTCTGTACCATCAGATCACACCCAAGTTACCAGAACTTTAAGGAAGTGGCAAGTTCATTATGCTGGTTTTCATCTTTCAGTTTTAAAATAGAAGAATATTTTATTGCTGCCCCTACATCCACAGGTATTTCTTAAAAAAAAAATAAAAAATAAAATAACAGGCAGAAAGACCATGTAAAATAATTAATGAAATGCATCCAACAAAAGGGAGAAGTATTAAATGGTCTTTAAGAGGCTGTTTGGACCCATCTTGCAGAGGCTGTGTCTATATCATGATGCATGGGGTACTGCAAAGCTGAAGCATTCTAAATGGGTCAAGCTCACCAAGAATCATGAGACTGAGGAAAAATTGTAACTTCCAATTTAAAATAAAGAGGTTTGGGTTATTTTCCTCTGTGTTTTTCAACCTTGTGAGAGTATTGAGGCCATGGTTTTAAGCACTTAAGCAGCCTTTGAAGGACTTTTTTCCCAGGAAAGTGGAGATTTGCAGCTAAATTACTTGTGTCAATAGGTAGGTGTTTAAGCAAACAACAGACGAAATTGCAATCCAAAAAGAAATCCAAATGCCATGGTGTACAAGAGCAATGCTGCAGTGGTTCAGGCTGGTTGCAGAATGTTTTTTGTTAGAAACACAAAGTCCCAGCAGCACCCAGATATCTGCAGGCAAACACTTGCATTTTTTCACTTTTGTTTGCAATGTAGAACATACTTCTATTTTAGCAGACATTTCTCACTTTTAACTTCTCAGAGTTATTTTAGGATTACCAAATACTGCTCGGATTGACTGGCTCTGTAGTTCCTAGGATTAGGCTCAATGTGCTTCTTGACTTGCAGCCATTTGGCGGCCGCTTCATTGTTACACAAATGTAACATGCAGCAATGACAAGAACTTCTTGCCATTCAATTATAAAATGACAGGCAGCCAAATAAGAAAATGGGATTACCTCCTGGGCAACTTCAATTGATGTAATATTGCCATTGGGTTGTTTTCTAGCCAGGACACTTAATTGCTAAGAAATGTGTTTACAGCTTGGTATGTGCATTATCCATTTGGGACCATGACAGGAGTGACAGAATGGTAACAGAGATTGGCCAACAGTATGAAAGAGGCTGCCACCAGTGGGGAATTCCACCATGGTGCAAATACATGGACATCCATAATAACAACTGTCTTTTTTTCCTGTCTCTGACCCAGCCAGGAAAAAAAAATGAAAAAGCAAAGCAGTGGTTGAAATCTTTTACCTGCCCTGGAAGGGTCGAGGTTTGCAGGGATGATTGGGCGCCTTGGAACCCAGATCTAGTTTTTCTCATCCACATTCATCATGCTTTATTGCTTGCTAATGGAACGACAAAGAAGAAATGGTCTAAATCTAATCATGTTGCAGTTGAGTCTGTCTGGAAACCCGCAGCAACATCAAGTATCAGATACCTCAGTGGGTCTCCCATGCACACAACTCCCTCTGGTTAATGGCCTCCCTGCTCAGCACAGCGTTACAACAGGGCTCTTTAACTCCCAGCTCTGCACAGTGCCACTGACATTTCCATTTGTTGTCCCCTCAGTGCGGTGTTTGGTGCTATCAAAGCGCCGCCCGCCTCTCCAAGGGTTGCATTTAACCAACTTCTCTCTCCCTGTGCTCCCCGATCCTCTGTGATTGGCAGGAGGCTCTGGGCAGCAGACAAGGTGAATCCTGTAAACATGGCAAGAGATAAGGCAACAGCAAAGGGAATGATAACCACAAAAGTAGCTCACAGGGTTCAAGGGATGGTGGAGCATGCACTGTTTATTTTCTGTGCTCTTGGATCAGCTGCAATTCCACATGTAAGCAAGCTCATTCCGCCTCAGCTTTAGGACCTGGAAAGTCCCTTAGCACTGAACATTATTTAACAAAGAATATATGCTTTCTTTATCTTTTATCTATATAGGAAACAAAACAAAAACAAAACAACCGAGACATTTGAACAATGCCTACAGCTCTGACTTAGGCCATGTCTCTGCCCTTGTTTGCACTGATGTAAATCGGAGATCGCTGCGAGAGATTTAAAATTGGCCTTTAAATTCCTTATCACATCACTCCTCTGCTCTGCCAATGATCTGTTCTGTGTGTTTCTAACAACAGTGCCCATGCTTTTGCCAAGCCACAGTTACACATGGAATGCTTTCTCTCTCTCCAGGTAGACACAGTACCTGTCCCCTCATCTACTTTCATATAAAATACGCAGCTTTCATCCTGATCCTAAGAAGTGCACTACCAATTATACCAATCCCAGGGTTTTTTAACTCATTTCCCCAGCGTTTACTCAGCTGGCTCGCCCATCCCATTTGTTTATGATGAATTTTTTATGACATAAACAATTACTTATTCCCAGGTGCATTTAACCAGAAGAGCAGGAACAGAGAGAAGTAACAGACTTAGGACTGCCTGGGCTTGCATGGTGGCAGCAACAATACATTTACAGGCTTCAAAGGCACTGATAGGGCTCCTTCTGCATTTTGGGGGGCTCATGACTAGAAGTGGCTGGAAAAAGGTGATTTTGAATGCACAGAGAATCTCTTATTTTGGTTTGGTTTAGTTTAAGGGAGTGCAGCAGCATTTTCCCCTAATAAATCCAAGGCCATGCCTTGCACGGCACAGTTGTGAACCTGGCAGTGAAGTAGTCCATGCACAGCCATGAATGTGCACACAGCTGCACACTCACTCGTGCCCTTGCACACCCTTACACACTCACACACTGCCTTGCACACTCACACACACACGTTGCACTGCTGTAGTGCAATTGTGCCATGCCACAAAGAACAAGATGTGAGAGGCAAGGCTTGATCTGCTTTTCTGTCTCTCTGCCTTGACCCCTAACGCCCCCAGCACCACCATGGCTCCTGCAGCAGCTCAGCAGCTCAACTTCTGTAATATCTGGGGCGTGGATTAAACACCATGGTTTGAATAATGGCATTGATTTTTTAATTTCTTCAGGAAAGTGATTTATTCTGTCCTCAGAATCCCTGTAACTGATGTGTATTATCCAGTACTGCCAAGTTTTGTCAAGGGCTTGAGAGAAAGGGTGAATAAAGACACAGACACAGTTTTCCTCTTATGTCTGCAGATGACTCCTACCTCTGAGCTGCCAGGTAATATCATATAAGTCATATTAGCCCTTGTTCCCTTTCTATCCATGGTTGACATAATTAGTGGAGAAAAATTGATGTAGCTGATGGTGACACAAGGCTGAATCTGCATCAGTCTGAAAGCCAGGCAGCAATAGCACTGAGTAACGTGACAAACTACCCAACCCTACATACATTGTGCATTTCTCCATAAAATCCAGGCAATGTGGCCTGCATGGTTTTTACCTTGGATGCTTCAGCAATAAAAAGATTTTTGATAAAGAAAGTTTAAGAAATAGGATCTGAAAGTCTGTATCAAACAGAAATGGTCCCCAAGGTACATTAAAATCTGACAGTCACCACTCAATTAGCAAGTGGGAGACAGCTGTCTGTCTGTCACTCTTTCTCTTCCTTGAACACAAACACATTCAAATTCAATCCAGATCTTTTTGTTTCATCAGCAGGTTTAGCCAGTTACCTGCCGGATGTGGAACAAGTTTAGGTACCGATTCTTGTAACTTAGTAATGGTCCAGAGTTATTCTCCCTCTCTCTACTTACAATGTCTGACAAGCTAATTGCCAAAGGAAAGAGAAACCTTCTCCCAGACACTGCACTCTGGGACTCCGGTCTATTTAGATTTGCCATTTGTCTGTCCCCGTTTCTAAGCACAGTTCAGAGAACTCTCCGTGAAGAATAAGGCCCTTTCTCCTGGACCCTTTGAGAGATTTCCTATTAGTCACCAGGATAATTAAAGGTTCCAGTTGCATTGCATTAGCACCTTTCATGTCATTAGAGTCCAGCTGCAGTGTGAGAATCACATATTTGCTGAGACTCCTGTGCCAGCCAGCGAGCCAGGAGCAGAGCTTTACATTTCATCACTTTGTAAAAGAAATACAATTAAGCAGTGTTCCCTGATCATATTGCAGCTTGCAAGAGGGGCTCTAAGCACCAATCACTGGAATGTCTGCCCATGATTGTATTGAAATGGTGCCTTGACAAGGGTTTATGAACACATTGTAATAAATCCATGGCCACCTAAGACTCCTTAATTGTCAGTGTACTGCACACAAAGCTGCTCAGACCCCTCGATGGAAATGCTCATTGTGCCTGGGCACAGTATGTGGCATCTCCATTTGACTTATAAGAAAATCTTCACCCGTTATTAGTATTGCAGGTGTAGTGCCACAGGGTTGGGGAGCTCTGAATTCACCCTGCAAAGGCTACTGGTACAGAGATATAGTTTATTATAACATTGTTAATTGACAGACTTGTATGCCTGTCTAGTCAATAACAGCCTGCTAAAAATATGCATTAAGCAGGGAGAATGAATCAGCTGCTAATAGCAGTCTGCCTGATTGTCAGCTTCTATCTATCTTCAGGATTTGTCGGAACCTTGTCACTATTGTGCTCCAGCAGCTCCGAGCCTGTAACATATTTATCCTCCAAACACCCCTCTGGGGCAGGGCGGTTGTTGCTCTCACCAGTTTACAGATGGGAAACTGTGATATTGAGAGGGAGAGTGATTTGCCCAAGGTCACACAAGAAATCTGTAGCAAAACAGGGAATAGTTCATCAGTCTGGCAACCCCAGGGGGATTAACCTACCCCCCCACCAGGACATCCTTGTTTCCTTCCTCTTTCAAATCAGCAGTTACAGCAATTTATACCAGTAGAAATTCTTTAAAATTCCTTGAGAACGCAGATTCTCCTGTTTCTGAGTGGTTGAAGTATTAAGGCCCCCTTCCACAATTCCAAAATGCTGACATCCCAAAGCCAAACTTTAAAACATTAAAAATACAGAACTTCTTCAAAACTAGTGCCTCCTTCAAACCAAGTTTTAGCTCTTCTCTTTGGGTGCATTTCTTGTAGCTGTTAACACCTCTAGCACCAGGTATAGGGAAACAATGGCTACCCTGCACTTCTGTGGGGAAGTATACAATGAACAGCAGTGTCAGAGAGAGATGTGAATCTGTGAACTGGCCTTGAGCCTTGGCAAGTACAGGAGTCCTTTAGTTCATGTATCAAATATGTTTGCTTGTAATTCAGTAAGCTGACATAGGATTTTAGGGAACATTAACTCATGTGTTACTGTGATGCTATGATTTATTATACTGTTGCTATTATTAATGTTTCTTATGTGCCATGCAATGAACAAATTTAAGCTAGACATGATCCTTCTGGCGAAGTCTGCCTTCCAAATAACATATGATAAAGGAAAAAAGATAAGGGAAGACTGGGGCACTTGATCTCAAGAACATGGACATAAGGTGACTAATAATGGGCTGGAAACGTGCCCAGGCTGTGGGCGCAGAAGCTGAGCAGTGCCAGTCACACTGGAGGGGGAGGAAGGTAATCAGGTGAGAGGAGCAGAGCCAAATTCCCATTCCTGCAGCACGGCTCCATGTGTCCCATGGCACTGGCTCCACACAGGATCAGCCATGCTCGTGGAGCCCCTGGGACAGCTCTCTGCCACTGCCTGCTAAAGTGCTACCATGGCTGTGGGCCTGAGTTTGGAAACCAGAGATGAGTTGTGGATGCTCCATCAATGAAAGTGCTCAAGGCCAGGTTGGATGGGCTTTGAGCAACCTCATCTAGTGCAAGATGTCCCTGCCCATGGCAGAAGGGTTGGACAAGATGATCTTTAAAGGTGCCTGCCAATCCAAACCATCCTACAATTCTGTGAATTTTTTGTATATGGCAAGTCTAGAAGTAAGAGGGAAAAACCAATAAGATCTAGTCAAAGGAAAAAATTCTGCTACGTTTGCTTATTTTTGCCTCGTACACTTTTTCAACAAGGACCACACACATTCTCTAAAATGTCAGGGCTGCCTCCTGTATCTTCCTGCATGCAGCTTCAAAACCCCAGTGTTTCAGGACCACAATTCTACACGGGGAGTCACTGTCAGAAGAAAAGCACTGTGGTTTCTCTTGGGCTGGGTAGAGACCCAAACCACCAGTTTTAGTTCCTCTGCTTGCCTTTCCTCCTTGTGATTCTCCTTTCTCTCCACAGTTTTGTTGGAGTTCCTTTGGGAAGTCAAACCCTTCACTCCATTCATGTGTGTCCTGCAGACAGCTGTGGCTGTAGCAGGTGATGATTCTGCAGCACCCCCTCCCTGTCCTTGGGGTCTGTCAGCCTCTCCATCAAGAGGAGACACTCCAGCTGAGGGTGCAGCTGCTGGAGATACCAGCCAGCCAAGGCTGCTGGGTGGCAGCACTCAGAGGAAAGGAGAAGTACCCAGAAAGGCATGACCAGTAGTGCAATATGCACAAACCTGCTCCTTCCTGGAAAAAGTGAGGGGTTTCAGTCTTTTTGAGAACCCCAAAGAATTTTCGTCCACCTTTCTAGAGGTGGAGAGGTTGGACAGACAGTGGACTGAACCACCCTCAAGCCCTCCCAGCCCACCAACAGTCTCTGTTGAAAAGATTTGTGTACAGTTAAGTAAACTTCAAAGCTGTTTAGCCCACTGACCCAATATGGAAAAACCTTATTTAAAGCAGGTAGTGATGGATACAGTGTCAGCTTTTACTGGAACAGACTTTGCTGAAGGGAGAACTGGGCTCTGAAAACTGTAGGTTCCTGTCTTATGA